TCTCTCTCTCTCTCTCTCTCTCTCTCTCTCTCTCTCTCTCTCTCTCACCCGCCCCGTGTTCCCCCTTCCCGTGAATCCTCCACCCCGCCTATCCCGACTCTGCCCATCCCGATTCCCCGCCTCCTCTCGATTCCCCCGTCGCACTCCCTTCCCGCCAAGCCCCCCGCCTCTGTACTTCTGCATCCTCACCACTCTTCTGGCCGGGGCTCCCTCTCTCTCTCTCTCTCTCTCTCTCTCTCTCTCTCTCTCTCTCTCAACCGACGGTCCATCATCTGTTGTGTGTGTGTGTGTGTGTGTCTATTGTCACCGCTCTTCTACCCTCTCTCTCTCTCTCTGTCTTTCTCTCTGTCTCTCTCTGTCTTTCTCTCTGTCTCTCTCACTCTGTCTGTCTCTGGACACAGAGTTTTCCATCGACAGGGTGCGAAATCGATTGAATCTTCTCGTACAACATCAAAATACGCAGCAGACACACGCGTGCGAGTGTAGCACTGTATATTTCGATGTTCTAGCGGAAGGTTCATTCGATTTTGCTCGAAACGAATGTACCGCTACAACATCCAAATGTACACCACCACAGGCGCACGCGAGTCTGTATGCATGTGTGTGAAGTAGCCGTTCTGTGTGTGTGTGTGTGTGTGTGTGTGAGAGAGAGAGAGAGAGAGAGAGAGAGAGTTTTCCATCGACAGGGTGCAAAGTTGGTTGAATCTTCCGCTACATCATCGAAATATGCACCACACACGCGCGCGAGTGTATCACTGTATATTTCGATGTTCTAGCGGAAGGTTGATTGGAAATCTTGGAACGAATGTAGCGGCAGAACATTGAAATATACAGCACCATACGCGCGCGTGCGCGAGTGTGTGTGCGTGTGTGTGTGTGTGTGAGAGAGAGAGAGAGGGAGAGAGAGAGAGAGAGTTTTCCAGCCATACATGGAGAACAGCATTCCCGTTTGGCAACCCAATTCCTCCCCCCCCGTCACCTCGCCCGTGGCTGCACCTTTCCCACGATTCTGCTCCCGTTTGGCAACCCAATTCTGCCCCCCCCGTCACCTCGCCCATCGGGCCGTTCTCCCCTGCGTCGTGCGTCGTCAGCTCCCGCCTCACCTACCCCGTCGGCCACTTCTCCCCCGTCATCTCACCCGTCGGTCTCTTCTCCCCTCCGCCGTGCCGTTTCGGCCCGCCCCGGCCTTTCTCCCCTCCGTCATCTCACCTCTCGGTCTCTTCTCCCCTCCGCTGTGCCGTTTCGGCTCTTGCCGACCTGGCCGCACACATTCGGATCCGCTTTCGTTCTCGGGCCTGGGGTCGGCCCCTTTTATTACCAACACGGGCACGCCGTCGGTTCCCCCTCGTGTATCTTTCCAGCTTCCGGCCGCCCGTTCACTTTCATTATCCCCTGCGCCCCGAAAAAAAAAGTGGCAGTGTATCTTCCCGGCCTCCCACGACAGATTCGCATCCGGTTTCGTTGTTGGGCCCGGCGTCGGGTTGTCCTATGCGGGCCTTCCGCTCAGTCATGCCTTTTGCTATGCGCTTTTCGACGCCGCCACTTCCCAACACCGACACGCCCTTCGACGCCGCCGCTTCCCACCACCGACGCGCCGTCGGTTCCCCCTTGTCGACTGCCCGAGAGCGGTCCCGCGCGGCGGCACCCAGTTTCTGTTGGGCCCCACGCGAGGCCCGCTGTTTCCTTTAGTAGTATAGAGATAGAGATAGAGAAGAGATTACATGAATACAATCTAATCACCTCGATAATCGTAGACCACCAACGATAATGAGAAGAGCTACGATTTGATTCAGCTATTTATGAAGATCATCTCTTTATTTTTCTAGCAAATCCTTGTTTTTTCAAAGCATCCTCTATTTCTCCGGATCAAGATTGATCTAAACTTATGTTTTTTTTGGTCAAACATCCACCAACGATGATGAGAAAACCTACGATTTGATTCAGCTAATTTGTGAAGATCATCTCTTTTTTGTTTCTAGCAGATCCTTGTTTTCACGAAGCATCCTGTATTTCAGCAGATAAAGATTGATCTAAACCACACTTGCAAGCGCACGTCGTGCGTGCGGTTCCCAATTTGTGGCACACGCGCCCAACACGGTCGAGTCTCTCGTCCTCCATCTCCTCCTCTATCTCTGCTCCTCCTCCACCATTGTCCTCGCCATCCTCATCATCCTCCTCCTCGTCCTCCTCCTCTCCCACGCAGGTGTTGAATCTGTCGAGTTCTTTTTTTTTTTTTTTTGACCTTTTCTCGATTTGTGCGTGTCATTCTTGCGCAGGGGCCATGCTAATCTTCGCTGTATCATTCGGGTTCATTCCCATTTAACAGATACCGAGAAGGAGAAAAGGTCTTTTAAAAAAAATATATATATATATATATCGTCACATAACTATGAACTAAAAGAGCGCAATTTTTGCGAAACAAACGGCAAGAATTAAAAATTAAAAATTAAAAAAACAGGACAAACATGAAGGGCACAGTGAAACCATTCATTTTTCTCATTCTTCTTTTGACTCCTCTTTCACCCTGCCTCTCACGTACAAGGCTCGCCACGTTGAAGTTGAGCGCGAGCTGCCCCCATCCCCGTGTGCCATAACAGCCCACTTGTACGCTGTAAGAAAGAGGCAGAGTGAAGGGGGAGGGGATAAACACAGGGAGGATAGATGGAGAGCAGACAAACAAAGAACGATGAAGCAGACAAACAAAGAACGATGAAGGGAAAGTAAGTTGAAAGTATGGAGTGTGGAGTGAAGATGAAGGCAAAAGAGGATAAGAAAAGGCTCAAGAATGAGTCTGTCCTTGACGACAAAGAGGACATACATTGTAAGGATGACGTGGATGAACACATGGAAGACCTAGCTGAGCATTCTCAGTGCAACAATTGCCACGACGGGTGGCATTGAGCATGCCCGCCATACACCCCCGACAAATGGCATGTCGATTGCAGGCCAAAATGAAAGAAGAACGGTCACCACAAAAGAGCATGCATTCGGTATAGCGCCCATGGCCGCAAAATGGACATGTAGTGTCCGGATGCGGAGGGTGCCTGCAGTCAGGAACGGTGGGACAGTCCTC